CCCATTTCCTTATCTACATTCAGAGGTAGGATTGATGGAACAAGGACTTTAGCCTCAGCCATTTTAGATTCTTGTTACTCCCACCTTCTTTCAGGAGACCAGCTCTCTCACACCCTATGGTTCCCCACCCCACCCCCTGCATCTTCCCCAGGTTTGGAAGTCAGAGGGCCAAACCTCAAAAACCTGTATAGGGAAGTTCACCTCTGCCTACTGTCCCCACCCCCACCACTGGCCCACGTAAGATATAAAAAAGCCCAGCCCCTGGGGTCTGGGTCCCTTGCCACGTGTTCCGTCCTGTGCACACTGGCAATCGGTTGACCTTTGTGAGTTTATTTTCTTTGAATAAATTCGGTCTGACTGTGAGTTTTATCATGTTTCCTCTATTCTGTGCCCCTTTTTTTCTTACAAGTTCAGCCTTCTAAAGGCTCTTGTCCACACAAATGAAGAATACCTAGTTGTAATATTTAGGGCCAGGAGGCAATTCATCCTCTGAGAGACAGGAAACCAGATTGGATTGCCACAGGAAATACAAGCTTCAATATAAGGAAAGAACTGCTTCCCTGTGAATTAGAAGTGAAATTTACACACGTTTTGTCTAATGAAGAAATACATCTTTCTCTACAAATTTACATTTATTCTCCTCAAGATCCCTCTAGACTTTCTGGAATTCTTATGTGGACTTAAACCTATTTTTAACAATAATTTTCAATTGTTACAACTCTAGCTAACACTGATAGACTGACTGAGAGAAAAAAAGATAGCAATTAAATTATAGGAGAATATTTTAATCCTGGCATTTTTGACACTGGAGGCATTTACCACAAAATACATAAGCCAAGAAAAGCTCAGATTACATAGGAGTTGTCTTGACAAAATTAAAACAACAATGCTAAAAGCATATATAATGAAGTTTTTTCTTTTATGATATGGGTTGAGAAATGTTCCAATGGACTGAAGAATAATATAACTATTACCAACTCTGAAAACTGTAAAAATTGATTTTGGAAGAAATTAAACTTTTATAAAAATTATGAACAGAAAGTAAAATTGAAACTTGCTAAAAGTTCTCATATTTTTATTGATAAAATTGGTAGAAGAATCATCTCTTCTTATAAAATTTGATTGAAAAACTAAATTGGGGAAAAATTATGATCATAAAAAAATGGAGCTAAAACATAATCAATGAAATCTATTTTAAATTTCCATAGAAAAATTTTTATTTCAACTAAAGTAAGTTTAGTAAAATAAGAAAATATAAAGCCAGAAATTGTTTAATGCTGGTCTACAAAAAGTCACTAAGAAATCATATTAACTAATAGATTTTCCTCCAACAAGGAAAAAGAAACTTTTGCTTATTCAAATTCACATAAATCTGATTTAAATATTGGTATTTAGAAATGGAATCAAAATAACTCATTTAAATTGGGTCAAAGCATCAGAATCATATTGTGAGAGTCCAAATAGCCAATATCAAAAATAGTAAATTGTCCATTAGGCTTATATATTTATTTTTATTATCCTGATATTTACCTGCTAAATACATTAAAACTTACTTAATTAGTAAGCTGAATAGTGTGATTGAGGAAAGAAGTAATATTAAATCATGAATATTTGTGCTTCAAAATTTTTTTTCAAGAGCCAGGAGCTTCTTCCAGGTCTCCCACATGGGTGCAGTGTCCCAAGTACTTGGGCTATCCGTTGCTGCTTTTCCAGGCACATTATCAGGGAGCTAGATGGGAAATGGAGCAGCTGGGACTCTAACTGATACACATATAGGATGTCAGTGCTGCAGAAGGCAGTTCAATCCCTTATGCAACAGCACTGGCCCTTATTGAAATTTTAAATAACAACTAGGGTCTTCCTCAGTTCACTACTTGATTTCAAGAATAGAAATTACAGTTAAAAAATGATTCCTTTGATTGCTCTATGGAGAAGCGACAAGAGTAGGTCAACAGCTGCAGCATTAAACCAATTGAGAGGCTAAGGTAGTATGCAATGAGAAAGGATAGTGGTTTGAATGAAGTGATGCAGAGGAGATGGAGAAAAAAAAAAAAAACACCTTTACTGGAGGCTGGAAGACAGGCACAAGAACAGATCTGGTAGGTTTTAAAGTTGAATCAACAAGTCTGAAGCAAGAAAGGGCAATCAGGACTAAAGATATTAATCTAGGAGTTAACAGCATTGACTATGATATTTAGAACTATGGGACCAAACGTCATTACCTAGAAATATTAAAGAGAAAATGCATCATGTTGGGCTCTCCAACACTGAATCTCTGTATTTTAGAAACTAAGCAGAGGAGAACAAAAGACAGAAAGAAATCAGGAGAATGTGGTATCATAGAAAGAAGACAGTCAAGAAACAAATGGCTGGGGCTGGCGTTGTGGTACAGCAAGTTAAGCCAACACTTGTGAAGCTGGCATCTCATTCCAGTTCAAGTCCCAGTTGCTCTGCTTCTGATCCAGCTTCCTGCTGAGAAGGCAGAGGAGGATAGCCCAATTTCTTGGGTCTTTGTCACTCATGTGGAAGATCTGATGGAATTCCTGGCTCCTAACTTTGGAATGGTCCAGCTGTAGCTGTTGCAGTCTTTTGAGGAGTGAACCCGTGATTGGCAAAATCAATCTCTCCCCAACCCCCAGCCCCGCAAATGGCCAAACTAGGGGCTGGGGCTGTGGTGTATTGGGTAAAGCTACCACTTGTAGTGCCAGCATCCCATATGAGCACTGGTTCGAGTCCACTTCTGATCCAGCTCTCTGCACCTGCATGGGAGACCAGAGGAAGCTCCTGGCTCCAAGCTTCGGATAGACACAGCAAAAGCTGTTGTGGCCAACTGGGGAGTGAAGCAGTGGATGGAAGACCTCTCTCTCTTTCTCTGCCTCTGTCTCTGCCTCTCTGTAACTCTGCCTTTCAAATAAATGAACTTAAAAAAAAATGGCCAAAATAGCCAGAGCTGGGCCAAGCTGAAGCCAGGAGCCAGGAACTCCATCTGGGTCTCCCATGTGGGTGGCAGGAATTCAAGTACTTGAAACATTATCTGTTGCTTCCCAGGCTCAGCAGCAGAAAACTGGATTGGAAGTAGAGTATGCAGGGCTTGAACTGGCACTCTGATGTGAGACATGGGTGTGTCCTAGGTGGCAGCTTAACCTGTGCCACAATGCCTGACCCTGGTTAAGTTTTCTTTAACACCAAGCTGTTAAAAAGAAGTGAGTGAAAGGAACTGAGAAGAAAAGACATAAATGGCACCAAAAAGTACAATATCCATTCACTCATTCACCTGTAATTCCTAGGTGTAACACTCAGAATTTGGGAGTGTCTCCCCCTACCCTGTCCCCAATACAGATGCACTTTACTGATACAAAACCAACAGTTCCTCCTCAGCCATGATTCAGCAATGAGTGCCCACGTTTATAGCTGCTCTAGGAGAAAAACAGTTGCCCGGATCTCAGGGCAATATCTTATGTTGTACTTTCACCCTTTTTATGTCTCCCATCTACCCAAGCAAAAGCAGCAGTCAGTGGTGCTTACTGCCTTAGACTAATTTATATCAGAAGTGGAGTGCCTATTTTTCTTTGGCTCATTTATCTCAAAAAATTTGTCAGAAAGATGAGGGTTTTAATCTATGGTTAATTACTTCATCTTAATTGAGAAGACAAGGTTTATGATTGAAAACATAACTCAGATCATACTGAGGAGTAAAACATTACTTTGATTCATGATACATTTTGAGGTATAATAATTAACTGACATCTGATGGCACAAAAAGGCTTGACTTCTATTTTTTCTAAGATAGGGAAAAAAACTGGTGATATATTTCTCACCTCTTTATCTGAATCCCTAGGATTAGGAAATTATAGATGGAAATTTACAAAATAGCCTCTACAAAAGATCTTTTTACCTACTTTTCTACCTTACAAAATCATACGCTATCAAGTTAACAAAATCTATATGAAAGAACTTTGAAACTATAAAATGATAGCAAAATGTGAGAACAAATAATATAAGTAGACAACACTAAATTGCATAAAAGTGAATAAAAGTGCTTTGGGCACAGATGCAGAAAAGTACATATATAATAACCATTTTTAAAATAAATTTATTATAATTGACCAATAATTGTATATATTTATGAGGTATAAAGTAGTGTTCTGATTTATACATACTAGAAAAATTAGGTTAGGTTAATTAACATATCTATCACTTCATCATGGAGATCACAGTTATTTCAAAATTGCTACATATGTTTTACATTTTCACCACACGTAAATCTTTTTAGTTGAGGATTTCAGATCCCAGTAATGTTGGAAGTCATAAAATTACTTATTTGTACATCTCAGAGGCAATGAGAGTATACAAGGGAAGAAAATTCTTGAAGCCAGGGCTGCTCAAATTTTCATTTCCATATGAATCACCTGAGAATCTTAAAAAAGTGTAGATTGACTCAGTAAGTATGGACCAGATCTCAAGACTCTGCCATTCTCACTCTCAAGGGTTGTCTGTCCAAGGCTGCTCTACAGAAAAGAATCTAAGTAGCAAGATGCAACTATATGGTATTGCTGGAGAGAGACAGGTGTTACAAAACAAACATGCCATGGGGGTAAAATATTCATAGTGGCATGAAAGCTTGACAGTGGAGCTCTTTGTTGGAGAGATCTGCACAAGACTCACATGTGACAAAGTCACCTGCAGAGATGGAAGGATGGGAAGAAAACAAGATGTATGTGCTGACCTGGGATAGTAGTAAAAGTGTCAGGGACTGCATGGTGCTCTCTCTGAGGTATGGAGGAAGGGTTCTTTCTCAACTCCAAAGGGAAGGAGCCCTTCAGGAGGGTGATTCAGCCACTTGAAAGAAGGATTCAGCAACCCTCAGTACACAATTATCCTTTACGAACCAAATATTTAAATGTTCCTAGATTCTGAAAAATCATATATTTCTTTATGGATATACTATCATGAAAGATTCTTAGACTAATTTAGCTCTTAACACTCAGACTATGACTTACCAAAGTCCTGTTCCTCAAAGGGACTGTCTGGTGGCTCTTCTAGGAAAAAGCACAAAGGGCAAGATATCTTTATTTGTAGGGATCAGTTACACTGGAGCTCCCTACCCATCTCTCCCTGTCTGGAAAGCTCCTGGTCCTTGGACTTTACACACAGACTAACTTAAGGTCGGTTGAACTAGCTGGACAAACACAGTTGTCTCATGGAGGACTGATTCCACAACCCCTATGGATACCAAAATCTGTATTCTTATGTTTCTCCTATAAAATGGTGTGGTGTTCACATGTGACCAATGGACATCTTTCTGTGCACTTTAATTATATTTAGATCACTTAAAATAACTAATACAATGAAGAGGTTACACTGTATTGTTTGGAGAATATGGCAAGAAAAAAAGTCTACAGTGTAGAGGCAACCATTGTTGCCTAACTGTATAGCACATGTCAGGAATAATGGAACATTTTCCATTGGCTGATTGAATTCACTGATGCAGAACCCACAGATACATATTCAATACCCAAATCCACTGATAATGAGCACTTAATATTAAGTAGATATTTTTTAGAAGTATGAAGAGGCAAGAGGCTGGAGGGCGGGGGGATATAGCTGTCAGCTTTTGTTTTTGCCCTTGTGTGGTATGACACAGGTGATATTGTATAGACCCCAAAAATTTATCCCTAAGAAATGAGGCACTTTGTGTAACTTCACCTTTGATTTTAACCTTAGAAGACATAGTAGTTAAGAAAACTTAATATACACTGAATACTTTTAATTACATGCAGATAGCCAATGTAGACTAGGCAAAAGAGATGTAACTCAAATTCAGAAATCCCATATTTATCACATATATAAGACCTTTACCTTTAACAAAAGGCCCCATTTACTAGCTATGGCTGTAATCCATTCAATTTGTAAGGTGCAATTTATGGTTATTTGGAGAGGGAGGATGTAACATAGTGTAAGGAGCAATGATAGCACAGTAAGGCTTTAACTTTCACATATGATAAACAAAAACGTTAACACTTTCTATGAACATCTTGTTGCTGGGTGCTTGATCAGACTTGCCAATCCAATAATTAAAGCTACTGAGAAGAATCCTCATTCCAGACCCAATGGACAGAAATTACAGCACTTGGTCTCAGCATGCTGCTTCTCATTAATTTAGCTAGGAGTTGCAGATCACTGAAAGTCATAGTTGGCTTAAAGATTCCAGAGAAATCAAACATGTGTAAACTGTGCACTTGGGAAGGATAATATTAAGTATAACTAAAATAGTAACTAATTTCTGAACACTTACTATGCATTAGGTGAAAAGACTAATTTGCATAGTCCCATTTAATATTCAGAACAACCATTGCAGTTATTAGAATAATAAATTCTCTAGCGTGGATGTTTGGCACAATGGTTGAGCTGTCACATGGGACATCGACATCCTATATCGTAGTGTCTGGGTTCAGGTCCAGCTCTGCCTCCAATCCAGTGTCCTATTAATGTGTACTGGGGGAATCAACAGGTGACAGCTCAAGTACTTGGGTCTCTTCCACTCATGTGGGAGACCCAGATTGAGCCCCTGGCTCCCATCCTGGTCTCCCTCCTAGGTGTAAGGAGCTCAGGCACTTGATCCATCTTCTACTGTTTTCTCAGGCACATTAGCAGGGACCTGGGTTGGAAGTGGAGCTCTCAAGATTCAAACTGTCACTCACATGGGATGCTGGCATTGCAAGGAGTGGCTTTACCCACTCTACTACAATGCTGGCTCTGAATAAAAGTTTTTAAAAAGCAGTGTGCAGCCATTAGGAATTATCTGTTCTCTTCGAAAAGGAAAAACAAGTTTCCAAGGACAATGTGAATATTAAAATCTGATCATTTGGAGTCACACTGCTAGTTAGTGGAGGATCTAGAAGTCAACTGGGGTCTGAGTGGCTCAGGAGTCCACATAGAAACAACATAATTGCTAGCCTCTAGTAGTTTCAGATGGATCACAAAATAAAAATCATTCATAAAGTTTTCAGGATGTGACCTTACATATACACATCTTAAGACACCTGCTGGTCCACATTCACCAGGACAGTGACCATTTCCAAGGACATACAGGTTTCAGACTTACTGCCAAATAAACAGACAACCATACTACAGAAATGGCTCTATCTTACCAGTTTATTATAAGAGCATCTATGTACAAGGCTTGGTGCTCTAGGGGCAGAATAAAATCTCCAAATCGTATTCTAACCACTTTCATTCCTGTTCATGGGTCATAAACCACAAGACTGACTTTTAGTATATTTAAAAAAAAATAAATAAAATTTGAGCCGGCGCCACGGCTCAATAGGCTAATCCTCCTCCTTGCGGAGCCAGCACACCGGGTTCTAGTCCCGGTCGGGGCGCCGGATTCTGTCCCAGTTGCCCCTCTTCCAGGCCAGCTCTCTGCTGTGGTCAGGGAGTGCAGTGGAGGATGGCCCAAGTGCTTGGGCCCTGCACCCCATGGGAGACCAGGATAAGTACCTGGCTCCTGCCATTGGATCAGCACGGTGCGCCGGCCACAGCGCGCCGGCCGCGGCGGCCATTGAAGGGTGAATCAACGGCAAAGGAAGACCTTTCTCTCTGTCTCTCTCTCTCACTGTCCACTCTGCCTGTCAAAAAAAATAAAAAAAATTAAAAAAGTAAAATAAAATTTGGTATTAAAAATAACATGTGTTATCATATTAAAAAGTCACGTCACAACAGTTTTTACACCATACACTTCTAATAAAACACTAGTTCATATAATAACAGTGGTCAGCCTCTATCTCAAGCCTCTTACTCCTATTGTCCCCTGCTTTCCCAGATACATACACTAGTACATTCCAGACCAACAGTCCAGACCCATCTAGAATCCAAGAAGGAGTCAAAAGTACGGAAGGGAGCGTGTCACTTAGTTAGGCCCTGGCAGGTGAGAAGGGGAAGGAGAATGGTAGTTACTCACTATAATGGAGATGTTTTACATTTGTGAAACTCCTCACAACAACCCTACATGGTATCATCATACCTCCATCACAGATGAGAAAACCCAAATTCAGAGTGCGGAAAGTACTTAACCAAGATGTCCATTATCACGATTAAAAATAAAACAAAACAAATCAATAAAGCAGGACACATGTGCTAATCCCCTGTCTTCCTAGATGAACACTATATAACTATATTGATTTTTATTCCTCCTCATATTTTGCAGAATGAATTAAAAAATCAAAGTTCATTTTCCTGTATAATCAATTTACAAAATCATTGAGTTAGCTTCTGTATAAGCTTGTGTCTTCTTCAAAAGCTGTTTGTAAGAACATTCACATCTTTTGCATACTGCTTTGTATCCTGTATATACCCCAGAGTCAAGTTATTCTGACACTACAAACGCCTGGGAAACTGAAATCCGGAATGAGATAAGTTCCTGGATTTGCATCCTGCCTAGTCACATCTAGTGCAGTAAATGTAGATGAACTTTCAGATAGGGAGCCAGGAGACTTGAACTTTCCAGTCTGATTGCTGTGCTTTTCATCACACTTCATTCCCTTCTGTCTTTCTGGCTTGGAAGGTGCTTGGGGGGATTAGGATTGGTTGGAAATGGAGGTAAAGGAAGCAGAAGTAATGAGTGGAACTAGGATGGAAATTGGCGTGAGGGTTGTATTCCTATTATGTCAGTCTGGGATCTTATTAAAAAGAGCCAGGATCCTAGTTGCATATTCAAGTTCAGACCACTAATGATGTACTAAGCAGATATTATGTTTCTCCTGATATGACGCAACAGATGTTATACAGCACCCCTAGGATGTAGTCTGGTCCAAAATGTTCAGAGACACTCCTGTAGAAGAACCAGGCAAACCAGAAAGTGAGATATTCTGCAGGGCAACAGATCAATGTCAGATGAAAAGGGGACCACGCTAACTAGAGAAGACTTAAGGGACATAACAACCAGATGCAAAATCTGGTCCTGTGTTTTGTTCTTGTTTGTACAGAATGTTAAAAAGGGTGTTTTGGAACAGTTAGGGACTTTTGACTATTAGATTAAGTTAATATTTGTTGAACTGGAAAGGTGGACATTGTTAACAGAAAAAAAGGAAGTAGCAAAAAGCATGTAAAACAAAATCTCATTTTTGTAAAAAATATTATAGATCTGGAAAGAACATGGTAAAGATTATATTGGTGAATTAATAGAATAAGCTGATTTAGTGTAATTTTGCTTCAATGTATTTTCTAACTTTTTATGATGGGCATAAAACTGTTTTTATAGTAGCAAAATTTCTTTTGATTCAAAAAGAATTCAGTTTGGAAATTGAAGTACATGGTCCTTCCCACAGAGCCAGAGTAGAGAGGACTAGTTAATTACATCATAACAGTAGATAGACTATTCAGGAGTTAAACTAATAGGCAATGCATTTTTCATTATCACCCTAACTTCTATCTACCCTTCAGTTTCGGGCACCAGAGAAGAGCCCAAGCACTCACTCAGCCTTTGAGTTGCTCTAGGATTCCTGTTACTGCCAGCAGCTTGCTCCCACCCCTGTGTGGGGCCCATCAGCAAGCGAGTCTGGGCTTGTGCTTTAGTGGGTTTGCCCAAGGCTCCATTTTCCTCCATTGAGCTCATGAACTAGGCTTTGGCCCTGAAGCCCTCCTTTACTTCTGCCAATGCCAGGACTGAATCTTGCTCTAGGGACTCTAACTCCCTGCCTTGAATTTATCTAAAAATGGAAAGAATGCTCAGAACCAAGATGTTGCTATTTGTCTGGATTTCCAGCACCTTCTCCTGGCAAGACTTACCACTGTTGTGCCCTCCCTAACAAAATTGGACCACCTTTGGCTGCTGTTGCCTGCCCAAATTGCCCATTCTTGGCATACCCATTATACCGCAGTAGGCAAGGTGTCTGGCCTTATAGAGTCAGCCTCTGCAGCCAGTTTCATTTCCCACTCTGTCCTGGCCTCCACTTTCACCCCACTTACTGGCCCCTCTGGGAGAGATATATAATCTGTAAGCCCAAGATCTGATGGAAGCCTACTTCTGCTTAGAGGTTGG